GCTTGATAAATAATGAGTTTGGAATGTATAAATGAATGAATAAGTGAGTTAGGAATCTTTGAAAAATTAGTAAACATTTTATTTATTTATTTATTTATTTAATCATTCATTTTGCACGTAAACTGTGCTTTAAAATATTTTTTGTATTAGAATTATTTAATCTTTAAACGGATTCATTTCTCTCGCTTGTTTTTATTTTTCTTACTTTTTTCATCTATCTATCTATCTATCTATCTATCTATCTATCTATCTATCTATCTATCTATCTATCTATCTATCTATCTATCTATCTATCTATCTATCTATCTATCTATCTAGTTGTCTGTCTGTCTGTCTGTCTGTCTATTACACATTGCGATATCAATGCTGAAACAATATTTTATGCAGCCCTAATTTGTGGCCATATTGGTTTGGAAAATTGCAACTTAAATTTTTTTTATTGGTCTCCGTACATGATGTAAACGGATTCCCACACTTCTTGAAGGTAATTAAAAGTACTTGAATTTCATAAACATGTATTCAAGGCCTGGAAAGTACTTAAAAACAAACAGAGGTCCTTAAAAGTGTTTAAATTAAAGTTGTTTATGGTTTGATTTCCTCAATTGTCGAAAACAGTATAACAAAACTAAGAAATTATTCAATTCAAAGTCTTAAATTGAAATCTTGTACAATAACTGACAAATAATGCACATTTTTATTAGTTTTTCTTAGTCATTTCAATGCATTTGTCACAACACTATTTACAATCACTATTTCACAATGCTTTTACTGAATCTTTAGCTTTTGTTACTAAAATCAAAATACAGAGAGCCACTTGCGTCTATCTGCTGCAAAAAAATATTAAAAATCATCCAACGCAATCTCACGGCAATTTGTATTTTTTTTGCTTTAGTGACTAATTTGCATTATTTCGTACGATCTAATTTAGTACGATTTGCTCATCAACCAATGACAGTTGGGCTTAGGGGTGGTGTTAAGTGCCATGCCTCCTTTTTTTAAATCGAGTGAACTTGTATGAATAAGCCACTAAACTGACAAAACGTAAAATACTTACGTTTCCTCATTAGATCAGGCTGGAACATCACGCGATGTCTGCAGAAGTCCTTTTTGGGGGAAGACAAGCAGACATTATCACTGTTTGCACTGGGTCAGTCCCGCTTGTCACCAAGGTAGGTGATACACAGACATACACACACTAATGAACGTTTTGAAAACTAAAGTTTGTTGTACAGTTGCTGGTTCATTTTCGTTATTTGTAATGGTTGAATTCATATCAGAAGTGAACCGCACCCGAGTTTGCACAAACCGTACCCTAGAGCCACTCCTTCAGGTGGACTCAGGTACGGTTCACAAGTGCAAACCTGGGTTAAGAAGACAACGTTCACACTAGCTAAACGTACTGTACTCTGATGTCAAATGAACCTGGGTGCGGACTAAAAGTGTTAGTGTGAAAGCACCCTCAAAAATGGCTAAACTAATCTGCTTAACTCTAGGGGATTAGTAAAATGAGTCTATTTCTCCAAATAAATAAATAAACAGTGTAGTGTTACTTTAAGGATTCACCGTTATACTATGCGTTATAGTATGATGTGTAAACTTGACAAGGGGAGAAATCAATCCATCTGCCCGACATAATCGTCCATCTCTTCTCATCCACAGTCTCACAACTCATATATTTTCACCCTTTCTATCATGTTACTGTATGTGTTGTGCTACGATGCCGCACCATCCTCCTCAAAACACGAGCAACACACTTACTGCTACATTTGACAAAGCCATTTTGTCTGCTTTATGTAATTCGCATTTATGCATTTCTTAATAAATGTTTTTAGGCATCTTTATGAAAAGCAGCCATACAAATGTGCACGTTGGTGAATGTTTCCCTGGTGTCCTCTTTTCTGAATGTCTAAATACTTCTCCAAAACCGAATTAGGAGGCAGAGGTCAAGAGAGATACACTTATCCCAGAGCTACGTGCTCTCTTTCTCCCTCTCTCTTTTGCACACAGACAAGGAGAGCTCACTCATACAAAGAGAGTTTGAGCAGCTATTCTCCCAGGTACCTTCTCCTTATGGCAAACACTGCACACCCACACACACGCCTACTTGCGAAGATACACACACAGGCCAAAATAAAAGACCAACACACAGACTGACAGGCACACATACTGGGAGTTGCGTATTATCAAACGCGAACACTTATTCGGGGCACAAACAATATGAGCATTCACACGCTTGATGCTTGCCGGCATGTCAGAATAGATTTCCTTCCCTTTAACTAAATATTTACATAGGTTTGGACAGGGGTCAGATTGGTGAAAACAAAACAGAAAGTTCTTTCCTTTGGAAGACAGCTACCCACACAGCAATATCTTTAAGGTATTTGTGTATTGGTATAGAGCAGACAATTAAAAAAGTACAATTCTGTCATGATTTATTCTCCTTCCTGCTGTTTTAAATTCATTTGGTTTTTGGTTTTCTGAGAACACGAAAGTGAATGTTCTGCAATGTTTTTGCCCCTGCATCAAAATCAGTGGGGTCCAGAATTATACAGTATTTACACTCACCACTTTATTAGGTACACCTGTCCAAATGCTTGGTAACGAAAATTTCCAATCAGCCAGTGACATGGCAGCAACTCAAGACATGGCATGCTCAAGACGATCTGCTGGAGTTGCTATCATATCAAAATGGATCAAAATCTCTAAGGAATATTACCAAAACATTGTTGAATCTATGCAATGAAGGATTAAGGCAGGTCTGAAGGCAAAAGGGGGTCCAAACCGGTACTAGCAAGGTGTACCTATTAAAGTGGCCGGTATGTGTATATTCTCTGAACGTAAGTTTCAGATGCATTTGCAACTGGAATTATTCATAGAAAATAATAAATGATAATACAATTACAATATTTGTATAACATGTCTCAAAATATTGAACTTTATATATTAATAATGTTTTTAATTGTTTTGGAGAAAAGTTTGGGTGACATTTTAATACAGTAGAGTGAAAAAACCAGCTGTAACATTCATTAAAATATCATACACTATATGAGTTTAGAACAGCACAGAGTTCAGTTCAATTCATTTTTATTTATGTAGCGTTTCTATGTAGATTGTGTCAAAGCAGCTTCACGCAGAAGTTCTAGTAAATTGAAATTGTGTCAGTCTAGTTTTCAGAGTTAAAGGTCAGTTTAGTTTAGCTCAGTGTGGTTTAAGTTTCATTGCTGAATGTACAAAAACCGAAGAGGAAATTAATTGATGCGCAGCTCCACAAATCTCAAACCAAGCAATCGAGCCAGTGGCAAGGAACAAATTTCACCAATTGACAAATGTGGAAGAAAAAAAAAACTTGAGAGAAACCAGTCTCAGTTGGGCACGACCATTTCTCCTCTGGCCAAACCTCTTGTGCAAAGCTGCAGTCAAAAGTGAGTAGATCTTCATTAATTGGTTAATTTTCTTCCCATTTCATGCTGATTTTAAGAAACAAAATTTGGGTGAGTAAATAGAATATATATATATATATAACATTTTAATACATTTTCCCATTGGAAATGGGAAATCCATTTGGATTTTTGTGCTATTTTTAGGCGTTGTGGTGCTTGATTTGCTTTACTTGTTTTGGTACCAATCTGAAATTTTTATTTATTTATTTTATTTTTATTATAAATATCATTGTGTACACTGTAAAAAAAAGTGACTATTTACTTTATAACAGGTTGACCTTATTGGAAATGAATAAAACTGTTATAACTTAGAACTGTCAAGTTGGCCTAAGTTGTATATTTAGGAATGTTATTTATTTACTTACTTTTTAAGCAATGGATTTACTCACTTTTTTAGGTAAGGTCAAATTATCGCTTTAAAAGCAATACGTTCACTCGCTTATTTTTGCTGCAATTTGATTTTTAGAGATATGTAACAGACATGTTACCTTTGTCATTCTATGCTTTCCATAGATGAAATCACTAAACGAGTTTAGAAATGGCAGTTCACTCCGCTGTGGTGAACCCCAATAAATCAGGGACTAAGCCAAAAGAAAATGAATGAATAAATGAGTTTGAAAACTTTGTAAAATCGATCGATCTATCTATCTATCTATCTATCTATCTATCTATCTATCTATCTATCTATCTATCTATCTATCTATCTATCTATCTGTCTGTCTGTCTGTCTGTCTGTCTGTCTGTCTGTCCGTCCGTCCGTCCGTCCGTCCGTCCGTCCGTCCATCCATCCATCCATCCATCCATCTTTCCATCTATCTGAAGGCAAAATAATAAGCCCTAATGTGATTTTTTTCTTCTTTATCAAATATTTTCCAAATGATATTTTACAGATCAAGAAATTTTTCACAGTATTTCCTATAGTATTTTTTTATGGATAAAGTCTTATTTGTTTTATTTTGGCTGGAAACAAGGCAATTTTTATTTTTTTAACCAATATTATTAGCCTTTTAAGCAATATTCTTTATATGTTGTATATCTATTAAAATAACCTATTCTTAACCTAGTTAAGTAGAATATCTAGTGAAATATTATGCACTGTCATCATGGCAAAGATAAAAGAAATCGCTTATAATAAATTAGTTATCAAAACAGTTATGTTTAGAAATGTGTTGAAAAAAAAGTATTTCATTTAAATAGAAATGTAGGAAAAAATTACAGGGGACTAATAATTCAGACGAGTAATAATTCTGACTTCAACTGTATATGTGTATATTAGTAAACAGGCTACGCTAGCCAATGACTTCCAAAATATTAAGAGGGGGAAAAAAAACAGATAAAAACAGTTTTTCGCTTAAAAAGCACAAGTATTATATAATAATAAAACCTACCAAACAACAACAATAAATTTGCCTAAAACAGCAAAATGTCACAGCCAGCTCTGGTTTGAGAAACGTGGGGTCAGTGGAAGGTCTGCTCTAATGGGTGATCCTGTGTGGGGTAATTGGGGCCCTGCAGATCAAACGGGAACCTTCATTAGCAGAACTCAAGGGGCCACTAATCCACCATGTTCACACACATAGGCAGAACAGAACGGATGGGGTTGATGAGGGTAGAAGTGTGCTGAGGGGGTGCACCGCCTGGAGCCCGCCTCGACGGGCAAAACATCTCGCCCATAGATCAAAGACCCTCGACATCTCTGAGCCATCCTGAGAGAAAGAAGGGAAGAAAAGCGGTGGAGAGCCAGTGCTTCTAGTGACTGGCACGGTGTAATCCCCCTCGGGCGTAGACAAGCCGGGTCAGTAAATTTATACTCATTTTTCTGTAATGCTGAAGGTTTATGTCTTCACTTATGCTCTTTGATCCAAAAGGAGGCAGAAATGGAATGGAGGGGAGAGCGATGACAGGAGGTCCGGCTCCTAATTATCCCAGAAGTTACTGTGTTAGAGGTAAGAAAGGGCTGCAGCCCCTTCCTCCGTTTCCTGTCTTTGTTGCTGTTTTGGGGCACACGGAATTAGCACCAAGCTGATTTCCAGCCCTACTTTACGGTTTTCTCACAGAGCCAGGCTTGCCCGGTCATCTGGAGATGTTTTCATCTTGACCCTGACCAGGGGGGGTGGAGAAAGGTTCAGGAGCCTTGCTTAATTGCCAATTTGTGATTCAGTTGAGCCCCATTGCAGACGGGCACTCAAGTAAGAAATGATTTGGCCCCCTTTCATCATCCGCCCCACCCTGTCACCCGCCCAATTTTTTCCTCCCTTCCTGCTTGGGTGTCTCTTTCCAGTTTCTCCTTCTCCCTCTCTTGTCGTCTCCTAACCCATGTTTTGAATCAAAGCTAATGGGTGGTCTGTCGTCTGCGAAGGCAGTTTTTGGTTTCCCAAGCCCTGCTTTTCCGTGCTGAGATTCTAATTGCCAAGAGGGTGACCTCCTCGTTCCTTTAAAATCACACCATGCAGAACGTTTATTTAGGAGGCACAGGGGAGAGGAAGAGGCATGGACACGTGGCCTTGGCCGCCACTTCAAAGCCTGGTCATAGAGAGGAGGAGGGAAGAGGCGATGTTTAAAGATTGTATGGGAGAAACCGAAAAAGCACAACAGTGGCATAACAAGACCAACAGTCCTGATCCACCACACTGCTTTTTTGACCAAAGCACATCTTTGGTTTAGATGTTTTGACGATTCAGTCAAAAAAGTGAGCAAGTGTTCTTAATGATAGTGCCAGACAGCCACCTGTTTCATGCACTTTCACAGTCACAGTGGAGTGAAGAACTTCTTGATGTTCATCCCAGATGAGTCTAACAGATGGAGAGGGGGAAACGACACAGGATGTTGTACTCACTGATCAATTGTCAAAAGTGGGCGTTGCGTGACTCATTTTTGTCAGATATTTATATTTTTGTCTGGATAAGAATGTACTTGATATCTGGAAAAAAAAAAAAGTCTAAAAGCCAGTAAGTACTGTTCAAAAGTTTGGATTTGGTAAGTACACTTTTTCAGAGAAAACTTTGAAAGTATTAGTATTATTTTTCCCTGTTTAACAGAAAAGATTTTTTCAACACATTTCTAAACATAATCATTTTTAAAACTCATCTCTAATAACTGAGTTATTTTATCTTTGCCATGATGACAGTAAAAAATATTTGACTAGATATTTTTCAAGACACTTCTATACAGCCTAAGTGACATTCAAAGGCTTACCTAGGTTAATTAGGCAGGTTAGGATAATAAGGCAAGTTATTGTAAGAATAATTTATTTTGTAGACTATCAAAAAATTTAGCTTTAAAGGGGCTAATAATTTTGACCTTAAAACATTTTTAAAAAAATTTAAAACTGCTTTTATTCTAGCTGAAATAAAACAAATAAGACTTTCTCCAGAAGAAAATAATATTATCAGACATACTATGAAAATTTCCTTGATCTGTTAAACATAATTTGGGAAATATTTTAAAAAATAAAAGAAAAAAAATAAAAGGGGGGCTAATAATTCTGATAGGAAGATATGAACACTCTCAATAAACACCCTAAAACTGCTTTACACATGAACAATTCATTCTTGTTCAGTGCTTACTTTCTCCAAAGTTACAGTATAGCTTAAAGAAATGTATTTGCATGCGTATTACAGTTCATGCTCATTTAAATGGCTATCTATTGTTTATGTCATTCTCAATAGTTGTTGTTTTTTTTTTTTTTTTGTTTATTTCTGAACTGTGAAACACTGGCCAACTTCAATGTTGAATTTTGTTAAATGCATGTGAGAGCTGTACTGTACTGTAGAGTACATGCCACACTCAACTAAGTCAACAAGCCACTTGATCGATTTGCAAAATACAAATATGTCTAATCAAAACGAATGGAACAAGTTTAGTTCTGTTAAATGATTCACTTTAGTTGTTTGAAACTAAATAAAGAAACAATGAAATGAATTAGCCTACTTGGAACTTGTTGATTGAATGAGATTTCCAATAAAATCTCATACGAAGAAGTGACTGCACATGCTTAGCTCAGACGGAACTTTTGAACGGGCTCTATGCACAGCTAGAGTTTTAAAACTAACGATAAACTTCCGGTGAAAGCTTAATGTGACTTTTTTTTATTATATATGATTTTTTAATTTCACAAGGTTGTTATTACAGCATCAATGTTGTAATGTAATTACAATACATTCAGCCAAACAGACTCACAGTAGGCATTCATTTAGCTGTTCAAGCATAAAACAAGATGAAAGACAATTGTAACCTCTAGCGCCCGTCAGTAGCAACAGGCTAGTGCAGGAATTCCATTCCAAATTCTGTCTTATTTCAAAGACATGGTGAGGGGAAATGGAATGCAATGCAGTGCTTCGTGTCCGATCTGAGACCCACTTCATATCGTATATTTAACAAGCAGTGAAAATTGCTGATTTTTAAATAAATCAGATCTTAAATGTGAAAATTTTGTAAAGGAAAGCACTTACCGGAAGCCCTTGCGCTGCCCTTGCGCTGTCTGTGTGCAAATTGCCCATTTTGTTGCCCATTCTGCCCAACAAGTAACTTGTTGCCTTGGTTTAACTTAACTGCCAAAAGATACTTTGAGACATATGGTGGGGATGTGAGGCAATTTAGCTATATTGGTAATTTGGTGAAATCACAGTGAGCTGTGATTAAAAAAATATCACAAATATTTGTTTATTGTTACAAATGCATGTTCACTTATGTTACTGTTTTTTTTTTGTTTTTTTTTAGTTTGTTTAGTCAAGACAATGTTTCACAATTCAAAAGGGTAGTTATAACAGATTCATTTTTTTTTAATTAAAACCAAAATGGCAAATGTCTGATCATCCATGTTCATGTTTGTTTTTCTGGTTGTCAGGCCAATGTTTGTCTTGGTTGCTTAGTTATATAATTATTCTATATTGTTTTCCATGTCTTTTGTTTTAATTTTAATGTATTTTAAAATATAATTAATTCCTGTAATTCAATTCAATTCAATTCAGCTTTATTTGTATAGCGCTTTTACAATGTAGATTGTGTCAAAGCAGCTTCACATAAATGGTCATAGTAACTGGAACAGTGTGGTTCAGTAACTGGAACAGTGTGGTTCAGGTTTTAGTGTTTAAGTTCAGTTCAGTTCAGTTTAGCTCAGTTCAGTGTGATTTAATCATTACTGAGAGTTTAAACACTGAAGAGCCAATTCATCGATGCGTAGCTCTACCAATCCTGAACCATGCGAGGCAGTGGCAACAGCGGAGAGGGAAAAAAAAAACTTCACCTGATGGGAGTGAAGAAAAAAAACCTTGAGAGAACCAGACTCAGTTGGGCACGACCATTTTAATTTCTCCGCTGGCCAAAAGTCTTGTGCAGAACTTCATTCGTCGTGGTTTAGGCTGGTAATGGCAAACCAAAAATTTCAGCAGTCATAAATTCATTCCTGTCACATGATTCTGCAGAAATCATAATATGCTGATTGTATTGCTTATGAAACCTGCTGAAGAAAACTTAAATCAAATGTGGAAAGCTTGGTGATTTTTTAAAGTCTCTTTATTACACTGAAAGATCGAAAGAACAGCTTTTATATGAATTATAAATCACATTTTAATAGATCTATTGCATTATTTTAAATAAAAAATTTGTGTTGCCCGTAAATGTCTGATATGTTAAAATATAGATCTCTCAAATAGATTTGTTTGATCTATTTCAGGATGCAGATGACTCCATCACACTATTTTAAGTGTGTTTACATGCAACAAAAACGACCATTTGTCTCTGCTCTTAATAGTTCAAAAATCAATACCATTTCCATCTTACCCACAAAACAGATGAGGTCTTATAACCAATTAGAATCTCTTTACTTTTGTACCATCGCATATTCATTTCCTCAGTGCCAAAGTCATGACATTTTGTTCAGTGTCATTAGAATGACATTTGCTCTATTTAAACACACTTCCTCTCAGCATAAACAAATAAGCCAGCTTTAGTTTCCCCTCCTACACACACCAGACAGTCTCGATTCACTTCAGCAACTCTAAAAATACTCCCAGACGTGCCTGCACACACACTTGTACACTCACCCTGGACGAAAGAGGGTTAAGAGTGCAACATGGGTCACACACACACACACAGCCTTTCTGTATCTCCACACCGGTGCTAGTGCCAAGGGCAAAACACCACCCCTTCAAACACACACATATACCGTGGCCGGCATAAATGAGTACACCCTCACATTTAAATGAATACTTTCTGTGGGATCCTGTACAATGAGATACTTGTGCAATTCTAGTCCATACCAAATTCAAATTGTAAACTATTCTTACAAAATAATTTAAGATCAGGGAAAAGAAATGAAAAAATAAAAGGGGGGCTAATCATTTTGGAGGTTTAATAGTTCTGATTTCAACTATATTTCAAATAATTGTCAATAATTGCTTTTAGCATTTCTTTTCATCAATTAATTCTTAAAAAGTAAAGTGTATTCACAAAATTATGAAACAGAAAAAGGTCCTCAACACTAAATATTATTGATTGAGGACCAGTAATGATTGATCATAGTAGAACAACAAATTATCAGATCAGATTTTGATTTTTGATTTCCATGTAACACTAGTTGTTTCCATCCAAAGATGCGAAATAATTCTTAGTTTGCATAAATGACGTGTGAATAAAGCAGCGTTTTCATCCAATAAGTCAAAGAGAACAAATTGTCACTTCCTAAATAACTGGCGCCAAATGTCAAAAGTAAAAATATAATGTGAATCTTTTCTTTATTTAATAAATGACTTGCACCTCAGAAGACAAATGCTGACACGAAATGGCGTCCACTCACACACATTTTTACCATCACATGATCTCTTATAACAAAATCACATGATGTTAATTTTAATGCACATATTGGAATTTGTACAGTAATAGTGTTTTCTTCGCATCTTTTCTTATCGAATTAAAAGTTTATTCTACTCAGTTATGTGCATATATT